CCCCAAACCCAAACCTTAAAATTGGGTTCTCCAAATTACCCTTCTCCATAAACTTCCTTATCAAACATTCAGCTGTAGGAGAATCTACATAGTTAGCATATTAGGTGGATGTTGATTTGTTTTGCCCTAATAAGAACTTGGTTCCTTTGATCCTGAACTGCTTTTTTTTTTGGACATTCGGAATTTTTTTATAAAATTACTGTATGTTTAATTTAGAAAGATCATTTATTAGCAGTTATTATTTGTAATGTTGATTTATACCATTATATTTTATAACTTAAGTTTTATTAAGGCTATATTCTCATGATTACTTATTGTTTTTGTTTGGAGTTAAATTAACAAGAAATCAGTTTCAATTACTTTTTTCATATTCCTTATGAGATGAAGGAAAGCATTTTTGAGCAAAAATTTTATTGTAAATAATTTAATACTTTTTAAAGAGTCAATCCTGGGCAATGAATATTTTCCCTAAAAGAGTTTAGAGGAAATTCTAGGGGATTCAAAATAAATGTCATAATTCCTGCTCTCAATAATTATTATTGAGTTTAATTTACAAGTTTAGATTATTATTATTTATATTATAAGAGCAATTATTAAATGAAATAATTGAAATTGTTTACGTGTTTAGATATTAAACATGAAGGAGAAGAGATATAAGGATTTTGCTTAAATTTTGGCTGTAAAGATCTAAGATCATAATTCTGTATTTAATGTGCAGTTGATCCTAATAAGCATAATAATTGCAAAAAAGACCTTAAAGGATTTATTTAAATTTAAAGTTTTGTTGCTAAATTCAATTAGAATCTCATTGATATTACAACTTAGCTAAATAAATCCTTTATCTAATTCAAAATATAATATGAAGAATATTCAAAAAAATTAGAGATTATGATGAAAAAATTAGTTTAAGTCTTAGATGGTTTAAATTAATAAGATTATCATTTCTTAAAAGAAAATTTGTAATTGATAAAGGATTTTTATCAATTTTAGTATAATGAAGTTGAGATTACGAATGAAAATTAATTCGGTATTTGATATTTTTAATATAATTAGGAACTTCATTACGTGATGTAAAAAGGATGATTCAGGCTCTGAATTAAGATTATGAATAATTAAATAAATATTCAAATACAATTTAACAGGACCGCTAAAGTTTACTTCAGTAGGGTATTTGATTTGAATTAAATAAATATAGGAATAGAATTATTAAATTAGAAAAAATGGTAGGAGGCCAATGAAACCTTCTCTTAACATGTAGAATAATAAGAGAAATTATTATCTATTTCTTACTACTTTCAAAGTAAATTTAAGTATTCTCTTAGATCTTTCTTTAATTGAGATTAATTAACTGTAAAAAGCAAAAAAATTAAGAGATTAGGCTAAAACATTAAATAGCAACTTATATAAAGATCTATTAGAATATTTAGATTTGAAATTAAACAATACTCCAATGAAAGCATATTTATAAATTGTTAATAGTAAATTTCATCCGTATGCCTTTAGTAATTGCATTAACTGAAAATAAACAATATGAATAAGCTATTGAAAAATGTGACACTTTGCTAAAATAGGATTCTTAATGTCTGCCTGCTTTTTATAGAAAAAGTATTGATTTATTTTTAATAATTGGTTTTGCTCTAAAAAAATTAAATGAATTAGAAAAGGCATTATAATGTATTGATAAGGCTCTTGAATATAATCCAAAATATGCAATAGGTTATAAATTTAAAGGTGTTTAAATTCTAATAATTAAAGGATTATTGTTAATAGAATTATAAAAATAATATGATGCCATTAATTGCTTCAATATTGTAATTGAAATAGATGCAAATTATGCAAATGCATATAATTATAAAGGTTGATATTGACACCATATTTAATAGGGCTTTCATTACATTACTTAAAACAATATGATGATGCAATTAATTGTTATAATTAAGCAATTAAATTAGATCCAAATTATGCAATTACTTACAATTATAAGGGTAAACATTTGAAATCATTTTACATAGGACTTTCATTAAATAGTCTTAAACGATATGATGATGCAATTAATTGCTATGATTATGCCATTAAATTCGATTAAACATATGCTTTAGCTTACACTAATAAGGGTTAATATTTAATATCATTTTAATTAGGAGATTCTTTAAATGGATTATTAAAACATGATGATGCAATTATTTGTTTGAATAAAGCAATTGAATTAAATCCAAATGATGGAATTGCTCATTTTAATAAAGGTTATTATTTGATATCATTATAAATAGGTCTTTCATTACATAGTCTAAAAAAATATGGTGATGCAATTTATTGTTATGATTAAGCAATTAAGATACTACCAAACTTTGCTAATGCATATAACTATAAAGGTTATTATATGGTATTATTTAAAAATAGGGCTTTCATTACATAGTTTAAAACAATATGATGATGCTATTAATTGCTACGATTAAGCAATAAAATTAGATCCAAATTATGGAATTACTTATAATAATAAGGGTTAACATTTGATATCTATTAATTTAGGTGTTTCATTAAATAGTCTGATGAAATATGATGATGCAATAATCTTTTTGAACAAAGCAATTGAATTAAATCCAAATGATGGAATTTCTTATAGTAATAAGGGTGTATTTTTCGATTTTCTATTTGATAGGGGTTTCTTTACATAGTCTAAAGTAATATGATAAAGCAATTATTTGCTATGATTAAGCAATTAAGTTAGATCCAAAATTTGCGAATGCTCATTGTAATAAAGGTTATTATATGATATCATTAAAAATAGGACTTTCATTACATAGTCTGATGCAATATGATGATGCAATAAAATGCTATAATTTAGCAATTAAGTTAGATCCAAATTATACAAATGCATATAACTATAAGGGTTATTATATTATATAATTAAATAGGGCTTTCATTACATAATCTATAATAATATCATAATTCAATCATTTGCTATGATAAAGCAATTAAATTAGATCCAAACTTTGCAAATGCTTATTTTAATAAAGGTTATTATGCGATATCATTTAAATAGGGCTTTCATTACATTGTCTATAACAATATGATGATGCAATTAATTGCTATAATTTAGCAATTAAAATAGATCTAAATTATGCAAATGCTTATAATTATAAGGGTTAATATTTGACATTATTTTTAATAGGACTTTCATTACAAAGTTAATAATCATATGACGATGCAATTATTTGCTTTGATTAAGCAATTAAATTAGATCCAAATTCTCCATTAGCATATAATAATAAGGGTTAATATTTGATATTATTTATAATAGGAGTTTCTTTAAACAGCATAAAGCATTATGCGGTTGCAATTAATTGTTATGATTAAGCGATTAATTTAGATCCAACTTATGCATAAGCTTATAATAATAAGGGTTAATATTTGATATTTATTTATAAAGGAGTTTCTTTAAATAGTCTATCAAAATATATTGATGCAATATTTTGCTTTAATAAAGTAATTGAATTCAATCCAAATGATGGATTTGCTTATATTAATAAAGGTTTATATTGATATAATTCAATATAGGGCTTTCTTTACATAATCTAAAACAATATGATGATGCAATTATTTGCTATGATCAAGCTATTAAATTAGATCCAAATTATGCATTAGCATATAATAATAAGGGTTAGTATTTGACATCATATTAATAGGAGTTTCTTTAAATAGTCTGTTAAAATTTGAGGATGCAATAAATTGTTTGAACAAAGCAATTACATTAAATCCAAATAACGGAATTACTTATATTAATAAAGGTTAATATTTGATATCATTTAAAATAGGGCTTTCATTACATAGTTTAAAACAATATAATGATGCAATAATTTGCTATGATTAAGCAATCAAAATAGATCCAAATTCTGCGTTAGCTTATAATAGTAAGGGTTAGTATTTGAAATTATTGAAAATAGGACTTTCATTAAATAGTCTGAAAAAATATGATGATGCAATTAATTGCTACGATTAAGCAATTTAATTAGATCCGAATTATGCATTTACTTATAATAATAAAGGTATCATATAAATTCCTTAAAAAAGGTCTTACCTTATAAACTCTAAATTAATATGAAGAAGCATTAACTAATTTCAGTAATGCAATATTAATTGANATTACATAGTCTGATGCAATATGATGATGCAATAAAATGCTATAATTTAGCAATTAAGTTAGATCCAAATTATACAAATGCATATAACTATAAGGGTTATTATATTATATAATTAAATAGGGCTTTCATTACATAATCTATAATAATATCATAATTCAATCATTTGCTATGATAAAGCAATTAAATTAGATCCAAACTTTGCAAATGCTTATTTTAATAAAGGTTATTATGCGATATCATTTAAATAGGGCTTTCATTACATTGTCTATAACAATATGATGATGCAATTAATTGCTATAATTTAGCAATTAAAATAGATCTAAATTATGCAAATGCTTATAATTATAAGGGTTAATATTTGACATTATTTTTAATAGGACTTTCATTACAAAGTTAATAATCATATGACGATGCAATTATTTGCTTTGATTAAGCAATTAAATTAGATCCAAATTCTCCATTAGCATATAATAATAAGGGTTAATATTTGATATTATTTATAATAGGAGTTTCTTTAAACAGCATAAAGCATTATGCGGTTGCAATTAATTGTTATGATTAAGCGATTAATTTAGATCCAACTTATGCATAAGCTTATAATAATAAGGGTTAATATTTGATATTTATTTATAAAGGAGTTTCTTTAAATAGTCTATCAAAATATATTGATGCAATATTTTGCTTTAATAAAGTAATTGAATTCAATCCAAATGATGGATTTGCTTATATTAATAAAGGTTTATATTGATATAATTCAATATAGGGCTTTCTTTACATAATCTAAAACAATATGATGATGCAATTATTTGCTATGATCAAGCTATTAAATTAGATCCAAATTATGCATTAGCATATAATAATAAGGGTTAGTATTTGACATCATATTAATAGGAGTTTCTTTAAATAGTCTGTTAAAATTTGAGGATGCAATAAATTGTTTGAACAAAGCAATTACATTAAATCCAAATAACGGAATTACTTATATTAATAAAGGTTAATATTTGATATCATTTAAAATAGGGCTTTCATTACATAGTTTAAAACAATATAATGATGCAATAATTTGCTATGATTAAGCAATCAAAATAGATCCAAATTCTGCGTTAGCTTATAATAGTAAGGGTTAGTATTTGAAATTATTGAAAATAGGACTTTCATTAAATAGTCTGAAAAAATATGATGATGCAATTAATTGCTACGATTAAGCAATTTAATTAGATCCGAATTATGCATTTACTTATAATAATAAAGGTATCATATAAATTCCTTAAAAAAGGTCTTACCTTATAAACTCTAAATTAATATGAAGAAGCATTAACTAATTTCAGTAATGCAATATTAATTGATCCGACCATTTTTTCCTCATATAAGAACAAATGTAATTATTGATTATAATACTAGTTCAAATATTAATGTAACTTCGAAAATTTTAATAAGCTATTTAAATATTAGAATTTGCCCTTATCTATTGCAAATCTGATGAAAGTGAAATCAAAAGTATGATTTCCAAAACTAAAAATATTAAATGACTTATCAATGAATTATTTTTTGAATTTATAGGCTTTCATATTATAAAACTTATGTTGTTGTTCACTTTTTTATTAGCTTGAATCTTTTATTCATTAATATTTAAGAACCTTAAGTTACAGTGTAAAATAATAAAATTTTGGTAGAAATGTTTATTTCACAAATTTTAAGAACTTTAAAATTAAAAAACTTGTGTTGATTCCTTCAAATCTTTCATTTTTCTACTGCTTTAAGAAATAAATGCAATCTAATTGATTTATACTCATTTATTGTCAACTAATAGGCAATAAACTTTGCCTCCTTTCAAATATCTAGTTAATAAATCGTTAAACTTGTTTTATATTTGTAAACTTTTCAAAAATTAAATAACAGATCTATTCCCTTAATCTAACTTATGAACCTGAAAAATCTAAATTGTACTATACTAAGAAAAATATTTGTATTTTTATCATAGATATAATTTTTGTTCGAAGCACTCTTGGCTAAATGTTCAAGTTTTTATCCATAATCAAAATCATATTTCCCTTTACATTTATATCTTCATATCCAAATATGATAATGCATTCCAATAGTCAGGATTTTTGGAATAACTTGATATATCTTCCTAATTGAAAATTTTTCTACATGCTATGCCTTGATTTATAATTTAAGATTACTTTTTTCCTTTTTAAATCTGCTAGTACTTTAATACATCTAATTATAATTAAAATTTTGGATGTATTAATGCTAGGCTAACCTGCTTCTTGATATAAATTAGTTATGCGGCTATTGTCCACAATTCCAAAAATTCATGAGCTCTTACTTTATTAAATATATTTTTACATTCTAATATTTTATATACTTTCTACCTTTAATTTCTATTTTTTTTTGATCCTTGCATATTTTTCAGCTAAAGATTACCTAATACCCCCTTGTTGCAAAAACTACCCTAAGATTTTATTCTCTCAAATTATCATTTTTGGTACTAGATCCCAATATTCTTTACTTTTCCTTTGCAAAAAGGAAGGCAAAAATAAAGAAAAAGATATTGAAGTTGCTTGAGAAAATCACAATTGTTTTTGAATATTTTTCATTAAAATTGGAATAAAGTTGTACACTTCACTTGCTCTAAAGAGTTTGCTATAAACAAAAAATAGGCTTAATATATCAGAGATAATAGTTGAAACTGATAAGATTTATTTTAACTACAAGTTGTTGCTGATTTTTTCACCCAAATGTGATGAGATTTATAATAAATTAAAACCTCCATAAAATTCAATAACATCAATATAAAAAAATAAATATAATATAAATTGAGATTCAGCTTTGATGACATTCATAAAAGGAAATATTATTTGAACTAATTCATTTATTATGCCAAATCTTTAACGAAGCTGAATTTTTTTTTCAACCCTAATGAAAACTCATTAAAAAGAACTTTTTAACTAGTTTATTGAGGTTTAAATAAAATTAAAATCATGCAACCTTCTTTACAGTTTCTATATATTGATTATTGATGAGAATACATTAAATTATATCTAATATTTGAGAAAGCTTTAAGTGAAATATTTTTATTAAATAAATATATATATATCTCAATTCTTCATTATAAAATATATAATTCCGATTAAACCTGAAATTATAATTATTACCAATGCACATTTTGGATTAAAACTTAGCCAAGAAATAGCAGTAACTAATAAGCATAATGGAAAAGATATGAAAACACTGAAAAAGACACAAAATATAGAGTCTTCAGCCAACATTTTTTCATCAGGAGGGGACATTGAAATCACCCATGTAATATGGGAAATTATAAACCAAAGCCCAAGTGCCTATATGAATCTATAATATCTATTACCATATTTAGATATCCTCCAAATTGTAATAAACAATTGAATTATTAATAAAAAAATACAAGTTGTTGTTGTTGTTAACAAATATTTTCTTATGTTATTATTGAGTCGTAGATGTAATTTATTTCAATGTTTGGGGGGTTTAGAGTTACTTTTAAGTAATTGTAACAAGAAAAACAACAATTAACCCTGTTATATTCCATATCCTGCTAATTTTCGAAATTTCCATCTCTAACCAAAGTCTAATCTGATTAATTTTGGATTACAAAAGGCACAAATGTATTATTATACTACTAAGCAATCACAGTGGTAGGACCAGTATAAGAAGCAACGAATGAGACTCTTATATCCTACAATGTGAGAGTTCCATATTTTTATTCAAAATATATATAATGTCCGCGTGCATAACTATATAGATTTGATAAGTGTTACTGATTACAAAATCTCGTTTAATCTTTTAAAAATTTAGCAGCTGCTTATGCATTATCATGGTTTATAGGAACAATTTCTTTTGGGATTATTTTTTCTACCAATGACTTGCTCAGTAAATAACCACCAAGGTAAACATTTAAATTAATAAATGTCTCTTCCTCTACAATGCAAATTAACAATACTTAAAAAGTGAGCTTCTTCTTAAATTGGATCAAAATTTGGCGTCCAATCCACAACTTCCCAACTATGAGTTTCTCCGTCTTCCACTGATGTTTAATTAAACTTTTTATACATTTCGACCACTCTATTAAGCTTAACACAATCCTTCACAGTCAAACCATATTCAGAATCAAATATAAGATCCTTGGTTGTAGATTAACCTAAGAAAATGATAGAGATGAATTTTCTACCATTAATATAAATTAATTAATTATTGGTATTAGGATTCACTTCTAGTGAGTTAGCTTAAATGCATTGTCTCATTATTGCTTCTTCTAATTGGTTTCTTATAATCATACATCTAAGTTTGTTATGTGATGAATATAAACCTTCTCACCATTAAGTATAGCAAAGCAACAGCAATAAATATGAAAAAAAATCCTACAATGAAATATAAAGTAGGATCTTATTTCGTACTGCTTGGCTCTGAAGTATGATCTAAACATTATATGAAAATAAAATATACATTCAACATGGTTGCCCCAAAAATTGCTAGTATTGCAGGAGGCAATTAATAGGGAAAATATTATGAGCTCAAATAGTTTATGATTTGAATCTATCAAGCTTATCATTAATGATTTATTAAATATTAAAAAAGAATTAATGAAATTTCTTTATGTATTTAGAAATAGTGTTTAATATAATAATTGATAAATTAAATCTTGATACTAATCTATTAAACTAAATAACTAATTAGCATTTTTCATGGTATTTCTTGTAATAATTTTAACACCTTTTTATCATAAATTTATCACTGAAGATCAATAATTTCAAAATAAATTATATTTGTATATTGTAGAAAGTTACTATATCGAAATTTATATGAAAATTTCAAATTGACCTTGAACACACTACAAAATTATGATTTTGATTATTACTAATTAGGAGATCTTACATGTAATTAAATAATTTAATAAATCTTTTTAGAATAACCCAAGAGAAGTGTATAAAAACGTTTTGCTAGAATTAAGCTTTGCAATAGAGTTGCTTAAAGATCTATAGATTAATTTTTTTCCTTATTGTAAAAAAATTGCTAGTTCTACAGATTGTTTCCTTCTTCTCTGCTAAATGATATGCAGAAATAAAGACTCGTGAAGTTTTCATTATGTTAAATTTAATCATTTTTGATATATTATCTAAACTACTTCTAGTTCAAATTTATAATCCAATAAGACATTAGCCTCCCTAATCTATATTAATTCAGTAGCTAATAATTTTGTTGATAACTTTTTATTAAACAAATGCATCTAACGATTTTATATTGCACAGGTCCATATTTCTCAATATGCTGTTCAAAGTTTTTTCCAACTCAGCTTATTCAATTTTAGGTAAATAAAGTTGTGCAAATACTAGAACACCATATTTTTCTATTACTTCATTTTAAGGTATGAGGATTTTAGTTAGTTGATTATATATAATTCTGCTTTTCAATTCTTTTATTGAAGCTTTTTATTAGAAAAACACCACATTCAAAATGATGTTTTATGTAATAAAGCAAAGGCTGGATCATATGTCTTATAGGTAATATCATTTTCTGGTCTACAGCCTAGACTCATACGAAGGAAACCTTTACTTTTAGTATTTTTGCTCAATAAGTAAAAATTCAAGTTTTTATTCACCACTCTTTTTGTTTACTTATTAATAATAATCTTCAATGTGCTTACTACTATATCGAGTTTATCAATCAATAATATCATAATTTTTTATAGCATAAATAACTAATTTTAGGTTATTCACCTTATACATAATTCTAGTATAATAATATATTGGGTTTGTTAACATGAATAACGATAATAAAATGACTAATAAAAAGAGCAAATTGTTGAATTATGAAATTAAGAGAATTTATATTAAATTTTTGAATTATTGCGTAATAAAATTTTTAAAAGTATTTATAGGAATATATTTTACTGATCAGCTAACGCTTAATATTATTTTAGTAATTTAAAAAAAAAATTTGTAATTCAATTATTATCAGCAGCATTTAAATCTCACTAAGGAGTCTTG